AATTCAGTACGATCGTCATCATCAGGGTTTAACAGATCTTCGAGTCGAATCTTATCAGGAATAGATATTATTCTCTTCGCATAATTAAGAACACTTGAAAGGCCTTCGACTATCTAATTACAACAATTAGTTGACGCGTTTTAATTGATATAATCGTTATTGAATGTGAATGAATTAATTTTAACATAATTGTATATTGAATATTACCGATCCGACATTAATTTTAGATTCAACAACTAACAATAAAGTCTTTAAAACTTTTCGGATTACTGGATGATACCCATGATTCAACAAATTACATATCTAATAATTGATTTAACAATAAATAACTTATAAAATAATGTTATTATATCAATGATGCTATAAACATACATGAGCCATGTTTACATCAATTTTTTTTGAAAGACTCTTAATAACATTTATTATTTCATTGATAAATTCGACGTCGATCATATTAGCAGTCTGTTCAATTTTTTTTATATCAGCGATTATGGAGAGACTGGGCACCAAAATTTCATTAGGAACTGTCTAGCATATGACAATCGTTTATTAATAAATAAAAAATTTTAATTTTAATTATAAATTAAAAAAGATATATATGCACGTACCTGAAAAGCCGTACTATGACTATTAACTATATAATTTTCTATAATGAAGCATTTATTTAACATGCACAAGACACGCCAACCAGCATGATGAACAATTCTTTCTTCAAAACATTCATCTATATCTTGCAATAACTGATGCCTAAAATCTTTCAAAATGTGATGGTAAATTTCAAGCACAGCATCTATTCCTGTGCCAAAAGAAATATTCAGATTATTTTCAAGAAATGCATAGTGAATGTTATGAAGGCCGGTTATTAAGGATTCTTGAGTTTCTATCACATCAAATTGATCTAAATCCTAAAGTTAACGAATGAATTAATATTAATCAGCTGCATTTCCTTTAAAACATAAAATATTGAATATCCGTTAATTTTACCTCTTTATTCGACAAAAATAAGATCCATTGGATTAATAGTTTTTGGACGTGTACACAACAAATTTATTATCGTTTGTAAGAAATTGCAACTGTGAAATGTAAATGATGATGGTGTAAGTATGTGATAGAAAAAATATTTAAATTTTAGTAATAGAATATACCAAGATTTGTTGGTGCTTTGCTATAATACTGCAGTACAAAAGTGCATTCTCGTCAGAAGCAATAGATGCGTTTTTATAGCAAGTTTTTAATATTTTATTGATACTGCAAAGTGTATCTAAAAATATCTCGAGATTTTGAATAACTATGTTCTTTAAAGATTGGGATAGTTTTAAGGAAAGGATTAATTGATCAAAAAACTTTCTAAATTGAAAATGCAAAATATTAAATAATACCTTTAAAAAAGTTCTAAGGCATTCTACTTGGTGAGCTGATATACGTGAATTTTCGATTGTATTCATATTATTTCAAATGTGTACAATTAAAGTTACGTACGTACATATTATTGCATTGGCGAATTTGAAGGCATACCTATATATATCTCAATAAAAAGATGGCATTAAAAAATTGCCGATTTGACGGTTTAAAGTTAATAACGTTAATATTAAGGCATGGCATCTCACGAAATCACCCGTAAATACGGGTGATCCAGTAACACGGTTGAACCTTAAACTAGTTTGTATCCTGTGTATAAAGTTGTCGAATAATGGTAATTTGGCGTGCCGCAAAGCGACACGTGTAGCCAATCATTTGTCAAATTACCGATAAGATATTGATCTGTGACAGGTTAAGCCACTGATTTAAGACTATGCCTTGCCTTAAATCATGATGAAAAGGCTTATTATTACGAAGTTGAATATATAAAAAACGATTTGATCGTATTTAAATAATTAATTCTTTTTTTCGATTTTATAAATTAATTTTTATCTAAAATAAGAAACGTGTGCAAATTATAAGTTTATATAGCCCTATCGACTTCTAATAAGGCTTAAAAGAGAACAATTTTTTTAATAGAGTTTATGAAAGGTCCTTCAAATGCCTCGCAAGTTATACAAATTTTTAAAAAAAATTATAAATCGGAATTAAAAATGGAAGAGAACGATATTTCCGGTATCACTTCATTTTTAGTTATTAATTCAAACTGTCAAAATTTTAGGCCAATATTACGAATCGTGTTAGATAAACTCAAAGATCAGTATAATGTAGCAAAAATAAAATCTTCCAAATAGTTTTCTTTATGATTTTAGTCACGACTGTTCAATCAAAAGTGCTACGAAAACATGTGTTCATGAATAAATAATATGGAAGAAAGAAGAATTCAGCTCTTGAGTTATCTTCATTCAAAAAAGGTAAAATTAAGTAAAAAAAGTATCATTTAAGTAAGAATATGTTGAACAACTAGCACGGTTAAAGAAACGATATATTGTTTGCTTTGCTTAAAGTAATTATAATATACTAGAGGAATATTTTAAAATTAAAAGTTTTTTTATTGTTTTTATATAAATATTTGTTTGTTAATATCAAAAGGCAACTTTTGAATTTATAGTTTAACTTCAAGTATTTTTTGTTAATAGTTAATAACAGTCACTGTGAATATAATCGGACAGTGATTGAAATTAGTGGTTAACCTGTCACAGATTACGGACGTGCTAAAATATTTTATAGTTGCTCAGTGTAAAAAATTTTTATCATTATAATTATATAATAAACTTAAGAAAAATTTTGATTATGTATTAAAAAAATACAATTGTATATTTAAGAATGGTAGAAGAATGTCACGAATTAAGCAATTGTTAACACCGAATTTTTACAAATTCTATGATTTATACTAGATTTTACCAAATAAAAAGTAACTAAATGTTCAAAAATAAGATTTGATCGCTATTAAACTTTTTTCAATCAACAAGCCACCTATGATGCCTATAAATATTTTTACCACTTTGTGCCCAAACTTTACTTCTAGACAGTCTGCATTTTTTCCCACCCATCCTGTCACAAATCTTTTTTTTTTTGATACAGTACAAAAATTTCTGAAAATTGTCTCTTTCATGAGAAAAATAAAATAGTTAACATTAACATTAGTATTAGCCAAAAGATGGTTTTTTTTTTTATCATTTCAACCACTTACTAAAAGACATCTTTAAAAAAAATACTATATACATTTTATTATAATAAATGCAATTCATAAGATAATTACAAGACAATTAAGATTTATTTATTTATTATTAAAAAAAAAGCAAACCAAAAACGTTGATATCCCGATGAAAATCTATAGGTCTGACCTTCAACACAGTTTGACAGCTTTTTCCTCTTCAAGCTCCACTATTGTACAATTGATGAGAATGATAAGATCAAAATATGTATGTGCCAATTAAAATGACAATATACTATTTAAGGCCTCTCAGAAAATCCTAATAAGCTAAAAAATATTAAACTCAAGCTCATATGGTTTAGGTATAAAATTTAAAAATACCATCTACTTTGTACTTTTTTGATTATTTACATGGAGGAACTATTCAAATACGATAACGACCAGAAGACAACTATTGTGTTTGTAACAAACCAAGCAATAAATCAGCTTACCGAAGTTACCAACAAAAAAAATAAATGCTGTAATACAATAGGGCAATGAACAAAATCAAGACCGTGTTGAAAAAGAGCTTTACCTTTCAAAGTTTCTTACCGGTAATAGTTTTTCATTCTTTATTATTTTTAAAATTAAACAGTTTAAATTACTCAATATGCCTAATAATTATATAATTATATAATTATATAGCTCAACGAGGTTTTTCATCATACAAGAAACTATCTCAAATAGAAAGATATTTGAGGATTAGAAAACATTTCATTATGCGAAGAATATTCTTTTTCTGGCCATTAAACAAGATCAGAATATTCTTTGTGTAATAGAGGCCTAAGTTTTGTTAAAACACAAAGCGCTTGTGAGGTAAGATATATAATGATATAAGGCGCACATTATTTCAAAACTAATTACATTTTAAATATTATATAGTGTAATACTAAAGAAAACATGATCTGGAGTGTTTATGGTGTTATCCTTGTGTGTTAATAATCTTTGATGATGAATCGCTTCCATCAATTGTAGAAATCATTTTATATAAGTTATATTATTGAAATAATAAATAAATCAATATTGTTGATTAAGTGATATGCAATATCTTTAATCGATGATTTTAAACAAAAGAATTTCTATTTATATTGTACGTACTGTACACAGGTATGCTGATATCTCAAAGTCCTAAATGTGAAACAACTTTGAGTTTTTGAACAAAAAATATTTCTAGATTTTTTCAATTATCATTTGATGAATTTTATTCAGTTATAACCCAATATAAAAATATACTACCAGATAATATTCTCAAAGAAATTTTCAAACCTAATGATCTGAGAATCAGCATATTCTTTTATTCTGAAATTATCAGCGCTAAAGACACAACATTTAATTGCAAGTTGAAATATTAAAGATATGAGTACAATTAACCTAAAGTCCATTAATTTAAGTCTTCGTTGATTGTACCAAATGAAAAGGTTATGAATTTATGACCATATGAATAAAAGATAAGATGATAAGTATTAATTATTGTTCTTTGAGTTTTTCGATTTTTTATTTCTATAAAAGTTTTTGGTGCGTGAGTAAAATAACAATTCGTTGATGCCGAGAATGTAAATCTATAGCAAAGTTATTCGAACTATCTTTGAGTGCTTTATTGATCGTAAAATTTCCAATAGCAGATATAAAAAAGTGAAAGAGCAGTTTGTGTAATTTTTAAAATTTCAAGTTTCATTAAAAGAAAAAGAAATTTCATGATCGTTCAATTTTATTATTAATAAGATAATAATCTTCGTTTCAAAATCAGAAAGAGTTGCTTCAAAAAAAAATCGCCTTCGTATCTTAATTCTTATCTTTTAGAAAGTTTTTATTCTGTGAATTATATAACGAAGATACCGATTTGCAACAACCATTTTATCAATCAACTTATCAAGGTAATAAAAATGCAAATGTCAATTCAGTTTTCAAATTTATTATTATCTTTTTTTTTAGAAACAATAGTGGATTTTGTAGAAAATTTGTATATTTCAGATATTTTAGACGATTTTTGATGGTTTATATTGAAAATTTATCAGAAACTTATCAATCGTTTTTTTTTTTCCTACATTGTGAGACTTGTAAAAAATTTTACTTTGAATTTTAATGTTATGCTATAATAAGGATCGATTACCGCTTCAGAAAAAATGTTGTGCTCCTTCTAAACCGTTCAAAAGATTTGTAATTTCTTTGTTTTGTGCTAAGCTAAAGTTATTTAAATTATTTAAATGTTCGAAATCTAGTCATAACAATAGGTTTATCAACAAATTACAGTCAAACCGAAAGTAAACGTGTATTTATGGAGGATGTACACAATTATGAAAAATTCGACTAGCCAATCAGAGCAAGAAAAACATACATAAGCTTAATTTAACCCTCTCTACTGTAATTGCATGTTCATAAAATTGAAGGCGTAAATTCTATATTGAATATTGAGCGACTATAGATTCGATTGTAATACTACTATATGTGGAAATTAAATCGACCGTAAAATTATATGAACGACTGTTGGATTTCGTAAGAATTTATATCTTCACGAATATCAAAAATTTTAAAAATTTAAAAATATAATAAAGCATAAAGATTATGATTTATTCAAATCTAATGATATGATTAAGCCCATAAAAGAAAATATTTTTCCTTGAAATATTTA